CTGCCCTAACTGAGCTGATGAGATCAGCACAGGCCGTAGGCCCAGCAGGACAGAAAGGCCTTCCTTGCTGCTTTCTACCCTTTCTGAGCATCCTGCAAACACTCGGATCTGCAGGTGAAGGAAAATGTGTGGCCAGGGTGCTTGCGTTTGGGCACCAAGGTAGGGAGATGAATGCTGGCCATCCGGAACTTGTAAACTACAAAAGCCAGAGCGAATCCCCAAAGTAATAACAATAATAATAAATATAAGTGCACTCTATCTTTAGGTTTGCTGCCAGATTTGAAAGAGGAAATTAACAATTTCCCCATTGGCTTGTTTCAAAATTAATTTCAGCTCTTGTTTATTTCTAGTATTTAAAGCAGGCCCAGTGAGTCCTCCTGCGTGGCACTCTAATAGCTGAATTGGTGTGAGTGTCATGGTTATTCTAGGTCCTGACTAAGTCTTTCTTGGCATTTCTGAGTTTTCCTACTCCTTTCTGGGTGTCAGAGCAAAAAGTTATATTTTGTGGCAACACAGAAACATTGACAGGATGTTCATTACGAACACATGTCTTGTTAGACATTCAGGCAAGAGTTTGGTGGCTTTAAGAGGACCACTGCACAGCCAGGGAAATGACTGTGCCAGCTCTGGCTTGGCTTTACTTTTGCTCTTCTAAAAGTGCTTCCTACCAGCCCAGATCATGCGGTGTGGTTCTGGAACCTTCCTTATCCAAACACCAACAAAACGCAAGGGGCCAGCTGCTACCCATGGAAAATCAACGTGGGCTTCTGTGCAGCCCTCCGATTGCCAGCAGACGGGGATTCTAGCAGTCTGAGGACCAGGTAATGCCTGATCCAGGAACATCCATGAGGGCCACCGAAACTGAACCAGCCATGTTTTCCACTGAGGCAGCAATGGCATTAAAAAGTAGGCAGTTGGGAAAGCAGAGCACAAACACACAGACAAGATGGCAACACAGGACAGTCACCCTAAAGTGTCACAGTGTGGCTTTACAGACTGGCTGCACCGGTACTGTGGTCAGCATAGGTCACCTGTGCCTTGGTGTGACTGCTACTTCATGAGGCCGTTGCTGTGAATGCCAAAATGTCACGGGCATCTGCAGCCCATCCACACTGTCAGCAAAGCACTCATCTAATGCCCATCATTAGGAATTAAATATTCGGAACCAAAAATGTTAGTTCAGTGCCACGGCATACCTGGCAAAGCAGGAGACTTACCTCTGGCTCCCGGGCCATTGTTCCTGCATGCTGAGCTCTCCTGGGCTGCCCCATCTCTCCTTTCTTTGGCCAGCAGCAGAGGGAATGTGTTGTTACAAGACAGAGATCACAGGGCAGCTGGACACACCCATTCCAAGCCCTTGCCCTTTGAAATTCACTTGAATCACAAAAATAACACCTGCTTTGGGGAAGCACAAGGAGCCCTTATGACTCATGCTGTGGTGAAATTTCATTTCCTTTCCTGTGTAGACCCAGAAAAGCCAAGGAGAGGAAAAGCAACACTGTCTTTTCACTGGCAAAGTGCAATCATCACTTTGGTACCCTTGGCCAACCCTGGCACATGTAGTGGGAGTTACCCCACAGGAAGGATCCCAGACAGAGAGGTGACCATTTCTGCTTTTCACTTCATGCCAAGAAAATTAAAGCCACTGGCTCTAAACCTTGGGTACATGCTGGAATCCCCTGGGCAATGTTTAAAACTCCTGATGCCATGTCCCACTCAGAGGTTTAGATTTAGTCAGTAGAGGAGGTGGCTTGAGTGTTGAGGTTTTAAAACTCCCGGGCATTGCAAGGTGCAGAAAAGCAAGGATCGCTTGTTTCCATGAAAACTAGAAGCCACGGATCAGAAACTGAGAAACAGGGAAAGCTCTGCTTTCAGGAGACTTAGGTGCTCTTCTTATCTGGGTGTCCCACTATCTAGTATTACTGTCTTTGCACAAGGAATATATGTCTTTGTACCTCCATATTTTCATGTGTAAAACACATTATATTCCTAGCAATGCTTACTGATGTGCTGTGAAGATCAAATGCAATAAGACAAGGCTGAGAAAAACACCAAGAACTACATAAAGGCAAGGGTTAGATGATCATTATTTTCTTTGGCAACGTGAGGCTGACAGCAATAATATCAATATTTATTGCATTTACTCTACACCAGGTCCTGTGTTAAGTGCACAGTTCCCTCCACGGTGGGCATTATGATTCTGTTTTAATGCTTAGAAAACCAACCAAGACACAGGAAGGTAACAAGGTACAGAAAGTGGAATATCAGTATTCGTTAGCAACAAGGAGACTCAGAAGAGTAAGAGAAGGGTAAAAGGAAGTAGCAACAAATATAAACAAGGATGGAAAGAACAAACCAATATGGCACTTCTCCAACAAATGTGAAGTACATGGATTCTTTCAAAAGACACACCGCTAGGATTAAAAACTGAATGCTCTTTATATGAGACAAAGAAAAAGGCTGAAAATAAAGGTCTGAGAAAACTTGTTCCAGGTGGATGCAAAGAAAAGAGGAGGATATGGACATGTGGAGAACAGTCAGCTCCCAGAACAGGGTACCAATAGGACCGAAGTGATGATTTGCTTCAATGAAGATGGGTGACTCTGGGTCACAAAGCCATCACCCACGTATGCGAGGCAAAACCAGGTATGTGAATCAGTAGAAAGCCAATAGGATACTTTCCTAATGAAAACTCTAGTGAAATGAATACATGGAAACTACCTAAATTTAATAAGTATCTACTTAGCAAAAACCCACAGCAAATGCTCATAAATTGCTGACACCAAGACCTTTAAAATCAGGAACCAGATGGACGCATCTGCTGTAATTATGACTACTCAAGTTTTTAAATTTCCAATGATATACAAGAAGGCATGAATATAGTAAGTTATACAAATACTGAAAGAGAAAAACTAGTTTTGAATTTGCAGATGATGTTATCATATAACTAAGTGTCTCGGGGAACTTTATTAAAAACTAGCAAAATTAATAATGTAAGGGGACTGTTAAAACAAATAATGAGAGACAAGCGTGATGGTGCATGCCTATAATCCCAGCACCAGAGAGGCTGAGGCAGGAGGATCTCCAGTTCGAGGCCTGGGCTACACAGTGAGTTCAGGGCCAGCCTGAACTACAAAGGAAGACCCTGCCTCAAAAAAACAAAAATCAAAAACCATACATAAGGAAAGAACTCATTTCCACAACAGTAACATCAGGTTGGAAGTAGCAATGGGAAAGATTATATCTAGTCCATTCCAATGGTGACAAAAATGATAATCCCAAATAAACAAGGAAGCCCAAGATCTTTAGGAACAAGACCATAAAAACTCATTAAAGAACAACAAAGCTACATCAAGTGACCATGGGAACTGTACAAAATAGAACAAATGTCTAATGGTAACTCTGAAAAAATGAGTAGAAAATTTGTATTAACAAATTATAAGACTTAAATGAAGTGCTCATAATAAAAAGTGTAGCATTTGCCTGAAAGAAGAACAGACTAGAGTACCAGTGCTTGAAAATCCAAAATGTACACAAATACATGTGAAAATGCTAAAGGCGACATTTCAATTCAGAGAGGAAAGGAAGTTTTATTTTTAAAATTGTGCTGGAATAACTGGCCATCCATCTAGAACTGATGAGAGCTAGACACCCTTTCCTCATATAACACACACGGTAAATACCAGAAAAACTAAAAGACATAATATAAAAAGTAAATGAGGGCAAGGGATTTAGCTCAGTGGCACTGAGCCTGCCTTGCAAGTGCAAGGTTCTGAGTTCAATACTCAGTACTGCAAAAAACAAAACAAAAGTAAATGAGTAGAAATGTGTCTCCAGGAGAGTAATTATATAAAATTAGAGTGAAGGTGCCCTTCTTATACAGCCTAGGTTCCATAAAGGAGAAGATAAGCATATTTGAGTCTATATTCCTTTTCTGGGGAGTGGGGGGTTCAGGGGATCGAACTCAGGACCTTGTGCCCGCGAGGCAGGCAGCGGCACCACTGAGCTAAATCCCTGGCCCCTTGAGTCTATATTCTTAGGCCTTTCTATCACAAAATCTAACAGAGAAAAGAAAAATAATGGATTGGGAAAAACACTTGGCAACATATAGGATCAACAAAGGCTTACAATCCTTAATGTTCAAAAGACCTTCCAAAGTGACAAGGAAAAGATAAACAGCTGCTTAAAAAAATAATCAACAAACATTAACAGGCAGCTACATAAGAGGAATGCAAATAGTTTGTGAACATATGAAAAATATGTTCAAGATCATCGGTAATAAAAACATGGAAATTGAAACAACAGATGTTGTTTTGACTTAACAGGCTGGTGAAAATGAGAAGGCTCCAGTGTATCTAATGCTGACCAAGACATGGCGACAGAGATTCCCGGGTACGCCAGTGAAAGTCCGACTCCAAGGTTTTGGGGCAGTCCATAATCGCAAAGCCTGTACTCTTAGGACTCGGATCTGCACAGCAAATACAGCCTGGCTCTATTACAAGGGGCCCCCAACAGAAATGATCCAAATGTGCACCTGTAGAAGGGGGAGTCACCTAACTGACAATGGCTTTGTTGATAAAACGCATGTATTTAAAAGAATGAGTTACATCAGCTAATCTACAGGGAGTCTAAGGGAAAGCTGTTTTAAAAAGTCAAGTTGAATATAACGTAAATAATACAAGTTGTTTTTTTTTTATTAAAATAGAAAACTAAAACTAATCCCTGTATGGGTTTATAAATGCTTATACAGCTTTACATATACAAAAGCGCGAAGACTGGTAAATTATGTACATCAAGGGAGGCAGACTGGTAATTTTTATTACATTTCCCCCAGCAGCAAGTGCATGATAACTTTTGTTAACTTAAAAATGTAATAAAGGAAATGTTAAAAAAAGATATTGGTAAAAATTACGGCCTATTCAACCAGTTTTGGAAAATGTGAGCAAATAGTAGCGGACACTGGGGTTTCAGGCCCCACCCCACAGGCAGCGAGCACTTACGGTTTTCCCCGCACGGCTGCCGGGCAGGACGCTGGCTTCAATGAAATACTTCCTGAGCAGATGCCGGCTGGGGTCAGGACTGTCCAGGAGGATATAGGAGCAGAAAAACGCCCCGTGCCGAAGCAGGAATATGGCAATGTCTTCATTCCCTAATGGGATGAAATACAGAAAGCTAAGGACAGCCGGTTATGGGGGTGCATGCTTACAATCCCAGCATCCTGGGAGGCTGAGGCAGAAAAATATCAAGTCCAACTTGGGCGACTTAGTAAGATTCTGTCTCAACATAAAAAACGGGCTGGGGATGTACCTCAGTGCAAAGGCCATGGGTTCGATCGCCAGCACTGGACGAAGTAAATAAATAAATAAAAAAGCAAGCAACTTAAGGACATGCAGACGAGAAACGGGTCCCTGCTGCCCAAAGTGGCAGAGCCCCCTCTGCACCCTGTGACTTTCTCCTTTCCTTCCCCGGGGCGCCGAGTTCCCGGCAGCCAGAGGACTTCTGTGGGACTCTGCTCCCTGAGCGCTCATAGGGGCCCATTCGCAAAGTTGGTCCCTGTCACCGAAATCCCCTGCAGGGCAGGGAGGGGGGAAGGAGGAGGCTGCACAGGTTTCCAAGAAGAAACAGAAGAGGCGGCTGCAAAACTTCCCCTCGGTGCCAGGGCGGCGGGGGCGTCACAGCCGCTGCGGGAAGAGGGACGCGCGCACGCACCTGCCTTGATGGCGGCGTAGAGCGGCAGGCGCACGATGACCGGGAACTCGTTCCTCCGCACCGCGTAGCTCTGCGGGTCGGCCCCGTGCGTCAGGACCAGGAGCTTCACGACGCCCAGGTGCCCTCGCTGGCAAGCCAAGGCCAGCATCCAGTTCAGCAGGCGCTGCGGGCTGGAGGGACCTGCGGAGGCGACTGCGGAAGTGAGGCGAGCGAACTGCCCGCACCCGCGCCATCTGCTTCCACCTCAGAAGGAAAACAGAGCTGCTCCGTCCCAGCTGGCCGAGTTCTGGGGAGCGGACTTGACCCAACCCGCAGCACCACGAACCCACCTGCCTGTCAGAGTGCGGAGAGCAGACAAGCAAGATCCACAGTGCTACTCACACTGTGATCCTAACTGAATAAAAAAAGGTACGCGTGGAAATCAGGACTGGACTCCCGCGGGGCTTTGGAGACAGACAGCCCAGGGTGTAACTATCATAGCTGTGTAATTCTGGACACATTCCGTAACCTCGCTCTACCTCAGTTTATCTGTCAGGAAGTGGGTAGAATATGACCATCCTCTCAAGTGTAATGCGAGGATTACATAACAATGTATGTGGCGCGCCTGGGTCAATAGATCCCAAGTCATATTATGTCTTCACGTTATCAGGGCACTATGACTGGCACTTCTCAATTATCTGTTATAGATATCACATATAATATATATTACTTTATATATATTTTTAAAAGCTTTAACAAAAGAGATACATCTAGCTCTGCAGCCTGAAAGGGTTAGGATTACTTCCTGAAAGAACCGCCTCGCCTCCTTAATTCCAGGACAAAACAACACTTAGCACATCAAATGCACAGGGACCGCATGGACTGAAGTGTTACCCTGTCTTCAAGTTCAAAATAGCCCCGGATCTTTGTGCTCGTGTTGCCATGGAAAAATGGCCTCATCTGAAACTTCCCAGAGTGCAAAGTTCTGAGGGACCAAAGTGGTCTCAGCTGGGTGAGGGTGCCCTCCCGCTCTGTGGTGGACACCGACCAGGAAACAGATACGGATGAAAGCGATTGCAGTTCACGGAATAAGCATCGGGCACAGAACCTGGGCTGCAGCGGGTGTCGGCCCTCCAGTTACCCTCCACCACCACCCAGAATGAATGACTCAAGCTATACTAACAGCACACGTGATCCCTAATCCGTTCCCTGCATGGTTATCAAGGCAAGAGAAAGAGTCCTCACGCTGCGGCCTTTCCTTGAGATGCAGATGTGTCAATCTCGAGATAGGTTGTTATAGTTCAGAACCACGGCTTTAAGAAATCAGAGGAAACCATGGCTCAGAGAGGCCGGAAACTTGCTGAAGGCCCTACAGTTGGTAAATGGCAAAGTCAAGACTTAAATCCTGTTTTGTCTGAAGCCAAAGCACGGATTCTTTGAGGCCTAAACCTGACACTCAGAGGAAGCCCCAGTTTGGTGTCCACTCCTCTTCCCCTGCCAACAGCTCTGCAGACTAGCAATTACAGCCCGACAGAGTTCAAAGAACCTCTCCTATCAACTTCTCATCGCTGTTCTCCTCAAGCCTTACTTCCTCCTCTGGCTGCCTCCTGTTTGTCTTCTGGCTTACTTTGTTCCTGCCCAAGCTGTCTTTCTTCCCCCGCAGCATGGGAGTTCCCAGCAGCACACACTGTTCTGCCCGTCTGTGCACTTCCTGTGGGGCCCACCACAATGTCCTGGAATCCTTCAGTTCTCAACAACCGCCCAGAGACGAAAGACAGGATGCCCTGGGAGCAGATGAAAACCATGCTGAGTCCCAGCCTAGCTTTCTGCCTGTGAAAGTAGGCAACCCAAACCCTCCTCTAGTTTGTGAGCTAAGTAAACTCCTATTCACCCTACAAAGCCTCTGTCAGATGTCAGCCTCTCTCTGCAGACTCAGTCCAGTATGTGTGCTGCCAGACCTCTGTGTAAAGACTCCAACCTCAGCATGATTACATTGCTGGTGTAGACTCTTTGGGGCTAGAACAGAGCTAATCTGATCTTGGGGGTCTCTAAAAAAGGGTCAGCCTTTGGCTCCTGAAGGCTGCCCAGGCTCCTCTCTGCCCTTTTATGTCTTGCCTCATCTTGTCCCCTTCTGTGGGCCCTAAGATTGTCCTGATTTCTACCTACAACCTCATTCCCCCTCCAGCGTATGAGAGGGCCCCATCTTGGAAGTAACTGAGAATAGATCTGTCTCAAAACACACAGGTGGGCACTGGCAAAAGAAATGCCACATGATGACTGGGGCTCAATGAAAAATGAAAAAAGAAACAGGGCCCTTTGTTTAAAATGATGAAAAATAAGAGGATGGTAACTATGAGTATTAAACCAAGAGTGAGGCCATTCTAGGTGCACAAAGCCATCCCTGATCCCCAGCAAACTTCCAACTCCCAAAGACTGTTTCTTGGTTCTGCCCAGACTCATAGTTGTAGCACTGCCTGCCTGGACTTGTCTGTTATTGCTGAGCTCAGGCCACTGTGGGAGATTACAGGAACCAGGACACCTTGAGACGACCAGAGGCAGAACTACAGATGGAACACAGCCCAGCTCATCCATACACTGAAATATCACCCAGCCATAAAAAGAATGAGCTACTGAGTCATGAAAACACATGGAAGAACTTTAAATGTCTGTCGTTAGGTAAAAGACATCAATCAGGCTAGATTCAGTGGGATTCCAACCCTAGGACATTCTAGAAGAGGCAAAACTATGGAGTCAGTAAAAGATCAGTGGCTGCTAAGAGCTAGGGGAGGAAGGGATGAACGACACAGGGCAGTGAAACTATTCTGTGTGACACAGTAATGGTGGATACATGTTGTTTTACATTTGTCAAAATTCACAGAATATGTGATGTTGAGAATAAGTCCTACTGTACACTGAGGAGTTCGGTAATAATATATCAATATCGGCTTATCAATGAAAACAAATGCACCATACTAATGCAAAATGGAAATAACAGGGGAAACTGTGTGTGGAGGGGTATATGGGAACACTACATTCCTATCAATTTTTTTAAATCCTAAAACTGTCCTAAAAGCAGTCAATCAAAAACCAAGCTGCACAGGCCTATATTCTTTGCAAGTATGATCATGAGTGCTTCCCTCATGGGTCAATGGGGGAAAGTACAGGACATCTGCAGACACCTTTGTTTGGGGTGCCAGTTGGATGCCCCAGATTTCCTGATCTCATTGCTGAAATCATGAAGAAACAAGAATTTTGGTTGTAGCCTAAGAAGAGGGCCCAGGGGGGAGGTAAGGAGCGAGTGCACTGTGATTTACCTGACAAGGACTCAAGCAGCTCCTGCACAACTTCCGTGTGCCCAAAATGTGCAGCCACGACGGCTGCATTGTCATCAGTGGGCTCCGTGGACAGCTCCACCCGTTTCTCGGTGAGTAGATACCGGACCGTCTCTAGATCCCCATGGGCCGCTGAGATGCTCAGGAGCTGACCCTGGTCAAAACACAACAGGGCTTCCGTGAGACAGGCTCTGTCTAGAACCACCAAGCGAAGTGACTTTAATGGCCAGGGCAAGACTGGACCTTCCCAGCCCAGGTTGGCAACACCTGCCATGCTCAGCTGTGGCTGTCCCAAGGGGCAGCACGGGAATGGAAATTCACGTGATTTCAGAGACCTCGTACAAAAGGTAAACTAGCTCATTTGCAAAGTTGATTATGTGTTGAAAAAACAATCTTTAATGTACATAGATTCTCCTCGGTCTATAGTGAGTTACATTCCAAATGAACCCATCATAAATTGAAAATTCTATAAGTCAAAAATGCATTGGGTCCCCTAACATACCGTACCCTAGCTTAGCAACTCAACACCCTGGAGTATCAGCTGTTTCCCCTGGTGACTGTAGCTCCCTCTGAGCTGTGGCTTGGTGTCCCTGGCCAGCACCATGAGAGAGGATTGGACAGCATAGCATAGACTGGGAAAGGAGCAAACCTCAAAACCCAAGTGTGATTTTTACTCATAGCATGTGGTTTTCACCAAGTCCCAAAATCATTATGAGGGGTGATCAAGTAATATGGTGAATGTTTAAATTTATTTTTTTAAAAAAACTTATTACCTTAAAAGACACACTGCCAACAATGATAGGATAAGTGTGTTCAAAGAGATAAGAGTATTTTGTGTATTATGAGGGGGATTAACAGAAATGTGTCTTTTATTGTAATATATATTTTAATTTAAACATTCACTGTATTTACTGATCTACAACCTTCATTGATCAAACACTTATGGGAATGTCTGTCAAATAAAATATTATGGTGTGTGCTCATCCACCTTATTCTCCAGATCTGGCACCAAGTGACTCCTGGCTCTTCCCCAAAGTCAAAATGGCCAGGAAAGGTGGAGATTTTGAGTCGATTCAGGACATCGAGGCAGCCACAACTGCACAACTAAAGGGCACTTCCAGAACGGCTTCACAAAATGGCAAGAGAATGATGGGGTGAGTGTGTGGGAAGCAAAGGGAGTACTTTGAGGGGGATTAGTGGCAATGTGTCTTTTACTCTAATAAAGTTTGTAAAACATTAGCATTCACTGTATTTGTTTTTCTTTTTTTGGTACCGGGGATCGAACTCGGGACCTTGCACTTACAAGGGAGGTGCCGGAACCGCTGAGCTAAATCCCCGGCCCATTCACTGTATTTTTATCACATTTCCTAAGTCAAACCACTGTGAGTTGGAAATAATATTAACATTTCTTCTGTTTCTGTCTCCTTCCCCTCTCCCTCCTCTTCCTCCTCTTGGTTTTATTTTTTGAGAAAAGGTCCTCTGTAGTTCAGACTGGCCTTGAGCTTGGTGTGTAACTCAGGCTGGGCTCAAACTGCCTCAGCCTCCCAAGTGCTGGGATTACACACATGCACCATCATACCAGGCTGTTGACTTCTTTAATGTGGCTTGGAAAATGTGATACTGTCTATGTGGTTTACATTCTATTTCTACTGAACAGCACTATCCTTGGCCATCTGCTTTGTGAGGATCAGGACCGTGTGAGTGTCCCCTCCTGACATACAACCAGAGCTCAACTGCCAAGTGATTCAAGTTGAGTGAATTTAGGAAAAGGGGGAGCAAGTAAACTCTGTGAAGGTCCTTCCTACAGGTTACTGTCAGTGGACTGTGACAGATGAGGAGACTGGACAGAGCCAAAGGTCCTCCAGGAGCCTACAGTGGGACTCTGGACTTGGTAATCCAGAGGAAGAGACCTAGTGGAAATGGACCTCACCTGAGTGCTGACTGCGTTCCAGCCACTCTGGTATACGGAAGCCCCGTGAGGCATACAGTGTACTACTAACACATGGCAAGGATACAGAGGTTCAGAGAGGTTTCATAACTCGCTTAAGTTCACACAGCCCACCAGTGGCTGTCACAGGCTGATGTAAAATGGCTCTGATGTTTCACAGGCTCCTGGAGTCTACAACAAGGATGCTCAGGTGGATGCTGGGTTGGTGGGTGACATGTGAGATGGGTTGCTGGCATTTTAGGTCCTTCTGGAATGTGGCTGCTTCCACAGACTTGAGCATCAGCATGTTCAAGGAGGTGGAAGGACACAGCTGCTGCCACCATCATTTAGAGAGGACCTACTATGTGTAAGATGCAAGGCTGAGCCCAGATGGTGGCAGGCAGTTTCCAGAACCTGTGTTCTCTCCATTCTACCCGAGACCTTCTGGAAAAGGCGGGACATGGACGACTCACGTACTGTGAGTGCAGTGGATGGGCAGGTGATGGGCCATACAAATGCAAAGCAAGGTGAGAGACAATGTCGGAGGCTGGAATTATTTGGAGGATGGTAGAAAATCACAGATTCAATATGACCAGAAAAGAACCCACCCACCTGCTACTCTGTCAGGGTGGGGTCCTGCAGCTCTGCCATTCCAGGAAAGCAGTTGCATTATGGAGAAAACCCACAGTGATTGATTAAGTGACTCATTCAGCTAACAGCTGTCTAGACTCCAGGCGATTACAGGCTTAAAAGCCCCATCCTCACCTGGTAGGTGATGTCACAGAGCCAGCCCAAGGCCAAGAGGGACCCAGAAGGCGGGAAGGGCTGGGGCCGTCTCCCTGGCTGGAGACAGCCTGGAGAACCCTGTGGTATGCATTCACTGTAATTCAGTATAAAATAGAAAGCAGGGCTCCTTTTATGCCTCTACTTCTCAAATGCCCTCTCAAAGGCAAGCACTCTTGCTTCTAGAGTTTTCTAGGCCTTCTAGAATATGCTTATCCATACATACGGGTAATCCATTTGGAACCAAATGTTCTTTTTACCTAATGTAATGACTTTTTATCACTGACAAAAAAATGTAAGGAAATTTTGTGTTCAGTTAATGAACTGCCACTTGATCACACTCCTATGACTGTCCCCAGACCAAGGAGCAGAATATTGCCTGTGCCCAGAAACCATGTTGTATCCCCTTTCCTGTCACTGCCCTACCAGGAGGAACCACTATCCTGATGGCCAGCACCATAGATTTCTTTTGCCAGTTTTCCGACATCATAACAATGAAATTATACTTCACATGGTGTTTCTGAAGCTTTCTGGTATGAAACTGTGATTCACAGGAAGTTGCAAAAATAATACTGGGAGGGGGCCGGGGATTTAGCTCAGTGGTGCCGCAGCCTGCCTCACAAGCAGAAGGTCCCGAGTTCGATCCCAAGTATAAAAAAAAAATAATACTGGGAGAACCTGAGTGGCCTTCATCCAGGTTCTCCAGTGGTAACACCTTCCAATACTGCAGTGCTATATCAAAACCAGGAACGTGATGTTAGTACAAGGCAGGTGCACAGTTCTGCCATTCTGTCATATGTGTAGACTTAAGTCATTACTGCCACAGTCGAGATAAAGAACTTTCATTTGCAAAGGCATCTCCCTCATGCTATCTCTTTAAAGTCTTATGCATTCTCCTCTTCTCCACTACACCTACGCCCGGGCAACCACTAATCTCTATTGCATTTCTGTAATTTTGTGGAATTACAAAATGGAATCACATATGCACTGCCTTTGGAGATTTGGTTGGTTGCCCCCGACTCAGCAAATTGCCCTTGAGATCATCTGAGATGCTGCATATTTCCACAGAGTGCCTTTATGTGGCCCATTAGTAGCCCTTGTCACCCACCTGCCAAGAGTTTCTGACTATATCTAGTTTATGACCATTACCAAAAAAATCCTGCTCTGAACAATCTTGAACTTATTTTAGCGGTACCCAAGTTTCATTTCTCTAGAATAAACGCTCAGTTCAATTGCTGTGTCATAATGTAAGCATATTTTTAGTTTTTAAAGAAACTACCAAACTATTTCCAGAGTTTCCGTATCATTTTACATTCTTACCAGTAACAAAGGAGAGATATTATTCCTCTGCGTTCTCATCAGAATTGGGCACTGCCACTACATGTTGGTTATTTTAGCCATTCTGTTAGGCGCAATGCAATGTCTCATCATGATTTTAATTAGTATTTGTCTAATGGCTGTGATGCTGAACAGCTTTCATGTGTGTGTTTGCTGCCTGTTCAGCAAAAGGTTTTTTCATGCATTTCATATATTTTTGAAATGAATTGTTTGATTTTTAATGTTCAGTTTTTAGAGATTGTTCATCTTCTAGGTATGAGTCCTTTGTCAGGTGTGTAGTTAACAATTATTTCCTCCTATTCTATAGCTTGTCTTTTTATCCTCTTAACAGAATATTTCTCAGAGCAAACATTTCAGTTCTCATGCAGTCCGATTTATCAATTTTTAGTGGATAATTTCTTTTACAGATTTTCTATGTAGACTACCATGTCATCTGTAAAGACAGGACAGGTTTACCGTTTTCCTCTCAGATCTATACACCTTTTATTTAATTTCCTTGCCTTATTGCATTGGCTATAAATTTCAATAGTACACTGGACAGGATTATATTAAATATAATTATGTTATAATTATTCTTGAACGGAATTCCCAGTATCCTTGGAAATCCTTGCCTTTGTCCTGATGTTGGGGGGAAGCAGCCTTTCACCATCGCTATGGTTTCAATATGGCTTCTCCCCTCCAGAATTCATACTCAGATTTGACTGCCACCCTGGTGATTAGGTCACTGAGAGCAATTAAGGCCTTGGCATGGGAGGGGATTGTTCTTCCAGGAGCAGGTTATTAAGCAAGGCTGCCTCTTGTGGTTGTCTCTTCCATGCACACTGCTTGCTGTTCTCTTTTCTGCCGTATTACGATGCATCTCACAGTCTGTTCCAGGGCTCCATCTTGGACTTTCAGCCTCGAGCACAATGAGCCAAATGAAAACAGAACCCAAAAAACAACCCCTCCTTTCTTTTCCTTCCTTTCCCTCTCTTTCTGTTCCCTTCCCACCCTTCCTTTCATATTCCCAGCCCCCTTTTTTATATTTTAGTTGAAGACAACGCCTCATTAAATTGCCCAGATTGGTCTCAAACTTACCATCTATCCTCTTGCATTAGCCTTCCATG